AGCACATTTATTTCATAACTTTAGCGTGCATTCCAAACAAACAGGGTTTTGGCAAGATAAACATAAATATGCTGTCTTTCTTTTCTTGCTTGCGGGGGCACAGACGACATGTTTCCTTGATTTTAATTTTGCTTCTTTTGTGCACTGCTCCACATTTTTAGACTCAGCTTCTTTTCCTAAAATCCACTTTATCGTCAGGCGCAATTCTCGATTTATTCTTGGATTTTTTGTCTCGTGTGTAGTAGTGGTTGGACTAATTTTCTCGCTAATTCTTTCAAAAACACCATTCTGGTCATAACAGGGTTTTGGTTATAACCTTGGTGCAAAATGTATGTGTTTACTATACTCATATCTACTAACCGATAGAAAAGAGCCATAGGCCAACGCATTGTTCTCGTACTACAGGAATGAACAGAACATTTTTCATCTAAAGCATCAACACCACCTTTGGTTCTGTTATAAAAAGCAATTATTTCAGGTTTCTGTGTTTCCGAGTCTATTTCTATCGAATGATGCAATGATAACATCAAAACCACTGCTCGCCTTTTCTTTGGAACAAATGAAATCAAGGATATGTCCTTAGTAAATCCATACAATGTTGAATTCTCTTTTCATGACTTACATGGAAGAAAATCTTTCGGAATTTCTTTTTTATTTTTTTTTTAACAGTTCCAACATATGTCAGTCCATTTTTCAACAATTCTGTGGTAAGTTCTATTGAAGAAAATCAATTGTCTGCTGTTACATTCCTGTTCGTATTAAAAATTGGTTTGCTCAAACGCAGAACAGCTTGACTTGGTTTGCAGAATTCTTTCCAACTCTCTTCTATGCTAATTCCATCAGAGTCTTTTCCACAATAAAGATATGCATTGTAAGCATAATTATTCTTGGCATCAGTCAAACACATAACTTTTCCATATTTTACAGGCTTTTGGGGCATATACATTTTAAAGCGACACTTTCCTCTGAATCTAACAAGCATTTCATCAATGCAGATGCAAGTGCCTAATGTGTACGCTTTCTGGGAGTTATAAATGAATAAATTCATCACTTCAGAAATAAATGCTGCCGGATCAGATTTATTTCGTTTTTTCCTATCATCTGGGTTATCAAATCGCAAATTTGAATGTAAAAATTTAAAACGTTTCATTGACATAACTGCACGAAAAATATCGCAGCTAGTTCCATCTGTGGCAAATAAACATTCAATATCTTCATGATTGGATTTGATTGGAAAAGAGCTCTCAGTTCATCAACACAGGTGTAGTCAATTTCACCTTTAATCGGACCACGTATATTTTTTTTCTTTCAATTTTTAGATTTGTCATTTCACAATTTTACAGTGTCATTTCTCATTGATATTGAGAAAGTGTGAGTAATAGAAAATTGCAAAAGTTTACAATTACTTAATGCAAATGATACTCGAGACATTAAATGGGTATCAGTTTAATGTTAATGATGAAGGGATGACCACAAAATTGTACAGCTTACTGCTTACTTTGAAAAAATTACTGGAAGTAATTTTGAAAAAAATCACTTTGTTGAAAAAATTACTTTGTTTTAAAAGTTGCTGGAAGTATTTTTTTCCAGCAACTTTTGAAAATAAACAACTTTTGAACAAATTTTTTGAAAAAATTACTAAGTTAATTTTTTCAAAGCAACCAAAAACTATGTTCACATAATGGAGAAAAAATGAGTTTAACTCGCAAGGCCATGTACTCTGAATAAATTTGTACCAGTTCAAAGCTTGCCCCTTTAACACTGATGCAACCATTATTAACTTCTGCAATTCCAGTGCAGTGTATGAAACAAATTGCATCTCATTTTCTGCCAAAAACTGTAGTAGTAACCTTGTTCCATCAAATATGATATTCCTCTTGACTGTCGTTTTGAACGCATTTATTAACCAGCCAGATCCTTTTAATAGATCACTTTCTTTCCTGGGGTCACGTCTTGCTGGAGCCAGCACTCTTCTATATACCACACCTTTGCCTGGTCTTTGTGCTATTACCATTTTATTTTCCACAACTATCTGTACCACTGAATTAAACTATATGGCAAACTATTCAAAAAAAAAAAAAAAAAAAAAAAAAAAAAAAAAAAAAACTGAAAGCTTTCAGATTATACATTATGCCCAAAGGGACTTTTTTTTAACCTTTTATGTTTTACCTTTATTTATTAAATTATTTATTATTAAATGTTCTTTGCACTTAAACCATAAAATTCAATTCAACAGCAATATCGCAAAATAATTTTTAAATGAGCTTATCTTTAGTATTTCTGGCTGACAGTCTCGTGCGCTAGAGATAAAAATGTCCCCCCTACAGTGTTACCATTGCCCGCTTTCAAATCATTGTGTTTGTTAATAAAAAAATCATTAAAGTTTTAAAAAACGAAATAGATAATAAAGCAAATTCCAAATTTGGGCTTCCAGATGCTCATATTTATGTGGAAACGTATGTTATTCAAAATTTGATGGCTGTAGGTAGTGTTGTTTTATCACTATGCGACACTACATACATTTATGCAGATTCTTCATTGTATATCACTACATGCATATATGCAGATTCTTCATTATTCAATTTCTTTAAATATAACACAGGCGATAATATTTGGTTGCAACAATTTGAAACGTGAACCAACATTTAAAATTTTCACTGCAAAATGCCAAAACGAAATTAATAGCCCTTTGGGCTAAAAGTAAAGTTTGCTCTACCTTATGACTTGTATGTGTTTAAATTAAAGTGTACAAACATAAAATTACCAGCCAACCTGGACCGTATTTCACCAAAAAGCTTCCTTTCATAAAGTATATAAATTCAACACTTTACTTTTTTAAAAAAATAGTTTGGCACAGAGTCAAACTATTAAACTAGCCAAACTACTAAATCTAGAATAAGCAAAGACTACAAGCTTTCCTAGATGTGACAGAATTTCGAACACGCACTTGCCAAGTGTCCTCGGAAGCTAACCACAGTCTAAAGTGTTCCCAGCAAGAACAGGCTCGCCAGTGGCCGAGTGGAAAAGTCGCTGAATACTGGTACTTTTGTCTAGGGTTCGAATCCTGGTGAATAGGCTGGCCGTGTTTTTCCCTATGTATAGTATGTATATGAGCCAGTCTCGCTTAGAAAGGCTTCCATGAAGGCATCTTTTCTTAATTTGGCTTAATGAAATAAACCAAACCAACCCACCAAGAACAGTCTTTTCTTCAGTTGCCAGAGCAGTGGAAACAGACAAGACTTTTGCATTACTAAAAGTCAAATTTTACTTTTTATAGTAAAACTGCATTTTGCTCGAAATATCTATAAATTATTAGGCAGAACAGAAGGAATCAAACATTTCATTAATAAAATTTAAATGCCACAATTCCAGTTATTTTAACTGCAAGCTACTCCTAAAAAATTTAAAGCATCCTAAAAACATACTTGCTTATATCTGATTCATCCAATAAACATGATTTTCTGATTAGAAAATAAAGCACATTCAGGTGAATAAAATCAGAAAATATCTTAATAGAGTAAATGCCATTAGTTTTGATACTGTTTCGGACCCTAAGGTGAATTCTGACTCCATAAGCGTAATTTTATGCATAGAAAATGTTCTCCAGAAACTGAAATTTGAACATTTAATGGGCAATCAACAGCAGCAAATTTGACAACTCATAAGAAAGCATGAAAACTGATCCAGAATTTGTTAAATCAGTGTTTATATCCATAGCCGATGATTAGAAAATCCAGTTTTAGTTTAAGAATTTGAAGCTGAAATATTGAAGCTAGAAAAAGTTAAATTAGAGAAAGAACATCAGTTAAAAATTTCAAGACTTAGAGCTTCATCTGATTCCAACCATGTCAAAAACCATGTCATACACTATCGTGTGGAGCCTAAAGAAATTTGGAACATGGATTTTCGTATCCAAGGTTTAATTATACGTTATCCTTTGCCATACTTGACAGTATGTGTGCAATAGTTATCTAGATCAGAGGTTCTAAGAACTTAAAAAAATTTTTGCAACATAAATAAGAATAAAATATATATAGGTGCCATTTTACATTGATTTAAATCTTTTATTTAAAAAATTGTACTATCTAAAATCATATAATGCACATTAGTGGCACATTTAACCTCGGTTTGAGAAATCCTGGTCTAGATTACAGCACTGGGTTTTCGCCTTACAAATGTGATATTGACATGAAATATTGCCCAGGCATCAAAGTAGGTCATGCAGATGCCCTTATCTAGTCTGCTAGAAGAAAAAGTATGATTTTCGTACATGAAAATCATACTTATTCTTCTAGCAGCGTACTTTCATACATGATACATTTTTAAATGTATGATGCTGTGGCTAGTCTGTAGAGGCTTTAAAAATTGGGATTAATCTTTATATTTTTGCAAGCCTTACATATTTCAGTGTCTTTGTTTACTTAAGTGATATTTGTAAGGTTACCAAAATTATATAGTTTATAGAAATTGGATATTTTAGAAGTATTATTTAAATGCGCATTTTTTTTGTGGAAAATTTTGCTCTTCAAATATTTATGAAAGTTAAATGTTTTGTTAATTTAATGTTATAATATTTATCTATAATTGTAAAAAAACATGATGCTTTGGATAATGCAGTGGGAATATATTGCATGAATTACGTATTTGAAGTCGCAATAACAGTTTTCTGTGATTGCATATGTGGTTTAAAAGTATTCTAATTCGACACGGAAAAAACGTATTGGACTATGGTTTTCCTGATGTATTAAATCCATCTTGCTACTCCCTTCCGTTTCCCCCCCCCCCAGTTTTATTGCGGCCGTTTTGTGTTAGATAAAGATATAAAAGATGTTAAGTAAGCAAAGACACGTTGTTTACTTCCTGCTCGCCTGATTCATCGGTTGCCAGCGGAAGTTAGGTCGTTTGCCAAGCTAAGTGGTTGCGTCGTTGTAACGTATACATGACAGTTATTTTTAGTTCTATGTTTTTAAAAACTGGAGATTTAAAGATGTGTTACATATGTAGAAGTTGGACGGAGGAAAAATTCTGCATCTTCGGCTCAGCGAGGTATTTGTTTTTGCGATTATCTCAGTTTTATTAATGTATGATGGATGTAAAAGGAATAAACTCAGTGCGCCCAAAAATGAGGTATGGTATAGAAGTTTTACGTAATTAAATGATATCCGAATTATGCAGAATGCGATAAAGGCGATTAAGCGATAATTAATAATGAAAGTTGATTGAAGTATTAATGATTGCTGCACCGAAGTTTTTTTTTTTTGGGGGGGGGAGGCAAATATAATTGCTGAAATCGGGAAAGCAATTTCTACGTTTATTATTAATTTTGTTGTTTTAGATCTCTATTATCAAAAGTCTGGACGTTAATTTTATTTGCAGAGAAATGTTGCTTGCAATTACTTGAAGCAGAACTTCATTAGCGGCCGAGTAGTAGAGTTGTTGAATACTAGTAATTCAACTTGGGTTCGATTCCAGGCGCACAATCTTGTTTACCTGCATAGGGGTTTTCGTGGTTCCCCCCCCTCTTGTGTAACCGGGGATAAGAGCAAATTTCCTTTTGAAACGCATCCCTTCCTTTATGCAGATAGCTGTCTCGCGTACTCTGTCATTAACAAAAACAACAACAACAACAACAAAAAAAAAAAAAAAAAAAAAAAAAAAAAAAAACTAAACCATCCTTGAATGGTTATCTTAAAACGCAGGAACTCAGAGTAAAGACTCAGAGACTCAGAGAGAAGAGTAAAGGGGCAGTTCACTGAGGAATTGTAATCGTATTCAAATAGGTGGCTAGATTATGTACTACTAAAATTATTTTTTTTAAATGAAATGCAGAATTTTTTTGAAAACTGTTGCGTTTGAATACTGTTGCTGGTACGCGGCTGTGCAACAATAAAATCTAACTTTTAAGTATTAGTCTCCGCTGGAAAATATATTAAAAAAATTTTTTTTCCCATTTTTTAAATTTTTTATTTAATAGATTTAAATTGTAACATGGAACAAATATAAGGAGGAGCAACCTCCTAATAAGTTGCTGTTTGGTGAGTTTGTTTTGTTATAAGTTGCTGTTTTGGTGAGTCATGATTTCACCTTGAATAAAAAATCTGATGTGTACACTGCATGACTTTGTACAAGGTTTATAAACGTGGTTTCTAATTTTGTGTTAACCATTTGTTCTTGTTTTGTTCGTGTGTCAGTAAAGTATTCGTCTGTTAAACGTCTGTTTTATGCAATGTTCGCATTACGAGCACGTCTACATTAAAATGTAAATATATATATCCAGAACCCATACGCCCACGCAGAAGAACATATGCCATAAGTGCAATTTGAAGCTACTTTAATTAATTCGGCCGACCATTTTTTAAACCAGTTTTTACTTCCTTGTACAAAGTAAAGAAAGTTCTGAAATTGCGAAAAATTTCGGGTATCAAATTTCAATGAAAATATCCATTTCGACCGCTCTCGAATCAACTTGAACGGTGTTTTTGCTTGACATCTATACGTACGGACTGAATAAAGGGTTCTTTTCCCCTAAGTTAATGGATTTAAAATGGATTCAGAAGAGATTTTTTTTTCGTGTGTCTGTACACATGTGAGTATCTGGCTTAACTCAAAAACGAGTAGCTTCAGAACGTTGAAATTTAACATATGGGACTCCCATAACGTGTAGTTGTGCACCTCCCTTTTTGGCTGCAATCGTCCCACCAAAAGTATATATATATATATGAAATATTAAAAGCACAAGGAAAAGCCGGTGTCGATGCGTCCTTAGATCCATATTGAAGAAGAATTTTGATTGTGTAGTATGCTAATAAGTTAACTTGGTAATATCTAATGAACTTGGCAGTCGAGACAGTTTTAATTCCATTTTTATTTGCAATTGATATTTGTGGCCACAGTCACTTGGCACTCTAGTCGTGCCTTTCCACAGAAGATATCGTTTTTGATATTGTTGAGGTAGAGAGCAAGCCAGCGAAATTAATCTTAGCACAGAGAGCAAAGCTGAAGTGCATAGTTATGCAAGATGGAAGCACGCGAAAAGTTAAGTTTTGGTTTGCAATTTGGTGATTGGTCAAGAGGCATCTGCATTAACGGTTACATCGCATCATTAATTTGAATGACTCAGTTTAGACTTAAGCGCTATTTTTAGGACAGATAGATGAAGTTCCCAAATGAAACAGAAAATAAAAGAGGTTATAGTAAATTAAATTTAGAAGTTTGTTTTCATATTTTTGGGTAAACTGAACTGGAATTTAATGGCATTGCAGCTTTGTTCAGTGTTTGTCATATTGTCTGAAGGGATGGCTGCTATTAAAAAAAAGGGGGGGGAGAAAAGTGAAATTATTTAAACAGTCAAGCCTTGTTTTAAGTAGCTTGGATATATAGTTTATTTCACTGTTATAAAGGTTTTAATTTTGACGGTAACCATTCTTTGATCACAATTTTATGAGGTTAATTTTGGATTCTATTTGTTTGGTGGCTATTCTTGCATGTTCATACATTAATTATTATAGATACCCAGCAATTATGTCTATATAAAGATATGTTTTCCGAAATCTTTTAAAACTCTTTCCAGACAAAGTGTTTTAATAATTATGGCCACTCTGCCTAACCACTCTGCTTTTGTGTGTGAAAAGTACGTGTTTAAACAAATGATCGTTTAATTTGTTTTATCTATTTAGTAGCTTACATCTATTTCATAATTATTTTAAATGGTTTTTATAATCAGGTTCTTCCATTATAAAATTGAAAGGCTTCTGAAGCATGGATTCATATTTGCAACTGTAGGCTTCATTATCTGCTGAACAGCATTTGCTCCGTTATTTTCCCCGAAGACCACCCACTGTTAGAGTTCTCGTCTTTCCTAGTTATGATCAGATAACTTTGTAAGTGAATGAGCCATTTCAGCTGTTGAAGTTAATCGTGAGAAAATGGAATTTAACGTTTTTTGATAAATGTTTTCGTCTTTCACTTGTAAACTTCTAGTATTTAACTTGTACAATAATATGAAAAGACTTGAGTGCTGTTGCAAATATTCATCAACCATCTTGGTTTCAATATATATTTGTGTATTTAAAATAATGAAGGAATTGTTCAGATATTAATATGAGCCAGGAAATACACTGAACTCGGATTATCCATGCTTAGTATACTCGGATGGCCGGAAAACGTATGCAATTTAAAATGGTCCAATGAAATTGTATTTAGCTACAAGTATCGTGAAAAATGAACTCTCCCAAAGCTTTAAATTACTATGCATGCTCTTTAAAGTAGTAAAATATATATATATTTTCATCCCCCCTGCAGATAGCCCTAGTGTGCTTTGCATTATCACACACACACACACACACACACATCCCCCCCATGCAAAGAGTATGGTATTTCTTTTGTCTCATTGAAAGACATGCTGACATTTTTTTTCACAATGCAAATCATGTGCGAAATTATGATGCCATAAATCGTTATTATTTTTAGCAGGTGTAGGGTGTTGTAAGACCTTTATAAAAAGAAGTACACTCGCGTATTCGTAATAAAGTTCGCAACATATAGAGTATACAATACACGCACAGATGCTTCAGTCTGTTCCTTTAAAGGCGCACCAGCGGCCGAGTGGTAAAGACGCTGAACACTGGTAGTTCGGTCCGAGGTTCGAATCCCGCGAACGGGCTGGCTGCATGGGCGTTTTCGTGGTTTTCCCCATGTATACGTGTATACGAGTCAGTTTCCCTTAGAAAGACCTCCACGAAGGCATCCCTCCCTTTAGGCAGATAGCCTTCGTGTGCTGTGCCGTAATTGACAATTATTCAGTTAGGGCAATGCCGTAATTGAATAACTCACAATAACCCTGTTCCTTTAAAATAGGCACTTCAAGCGCCTTCCCCCTTCCTCTCCCACAGCGTAGGAAGTCCTCCATGAAGACATTATTCTTAGGGAGATAATCCTTGTACGCTCTGCTATATTCAAATAACCAAAGCAAACGCAGACTGGCCCTCCCGCATTTACGAGTGTTATATAGCGACTCTTTTTTTTTTTTTTTTTTTTTTTGTAACTTCAAAATAGTTGTAAGGGGGAGGGGAATTCTCCTTTTACTTTGCCGTGTAAGCAGTATGTATACTATTTTTCGTAATAATATTGCTTGATAAGTAAACATTTTAAGTTATTATGTCAGAATTTCAAACTTTTGCCGTTGTATGGATCGTAGTATAATCACTCACATGAAGTTAGGCTCACCAGCGACCAGTTGAATAAGACCTCTGAGTACTGATGAACCAGTATCTGTAAAACCTTATGTCCTTTGAAGTTTTTAATGATTTTACACCACTGCAATGTAAATAGAGTCATTTCCCTTAGAAAGTACTTCACGACAGCATTTCTCCTATTAGCGGATAGGCGTCGTGTGCATTGTTTTAGTCAGTGAACCAGTCATCCGAATTGTAGTTTTTCTGGAATGCAGCGTATTTTGCCGATTTTTAGCAATATTTCAAGATTGATCATAGGCTGCTAACAGTAATGGTGGAGTTCCAATCAACTGTTTTTGAATAAGTTAAAATTGTTAAACAGAAATTCAAATAAATTAAATGTAGCGTAAACATCGAAAAAATCGGAAAATTTGAAAAAAAGGTACCGTTACACTGTTGTGTTGATGAAAAGATAAAAATTTCTTGCGTTTTAGAGCTTCGCCTTTGTCTCTTACTGTTCTCCTTTTTTTTTGAAACTAAAAAGTGTAAAAAAAAAAAAAAAAAAAAAAAAAAAAAAATCGGAAAGCTTTCAAATTTTATATTACGTCCAAGGGGGCGTTTTTTAAACGTTTTGTGTGTTACCTTTATGTATTAAATATCATGTTCTTCGCACTTGAACCATAAAATACATTTAAACAGAATCACAAAATATTTAAAAGAACGTATCTTTAGAATTTCCGATACACAGTCTTGGGCCTTGGAGATAAAAATGCCCCTCCATCGCACAGTGTTGCCATTGCTCGCTTTGAAATCGTTGAGTTTCTCAATCAAAAACTCATAAATACTTTTAAAATATGAAATAGATAATAAAGCAAATTCCAAATTTGGGTTTCCAGAGGCCCATACTCCAGTGGAGACGTACGTTATTCGAAATTTGATGGCTCGTTTTCTTAT